CTTTATAAGATTAAAAAGAAAATGATTTTTTAAAAAAGCATATTAGTGACATAAAACTACCCTGCTAAAGTTCTCCATATGTCAACCTTCCCCTGGGCCAGAGAGAGGAGGTCTAGTCTCAGTAAGGCCAGGCAGGAATGGGCAGTATCTCCTGAGCTTGGTAGGTCCTTCCCACGACCAGGTAGTTGGCCAAGAAATACACTGGATAGTTATTGTCTTAGTGAGTATTCAAAGAGATAACTTTTTTCTTTTCAATGCGCTGACAATGACTTAGAAACCATGCTCAGTGCCCCATGAGAGAGGTGGAACCCAAATGACTGTCTTTAGGATGCTCACGATTTTCTAAAGAAAACAGCCAGAAAGTAATGCCTGGTAGACCTGGGAAGTGAAGTGGGATGGCGGAGAAGAAGGAGCTTCCACACACCAAGAATGACACCTGCAAGCCCAGGTGCCAAGCTCCAGACACTCCAAGGTATACTGCACTCTGAGGAGAGCAGTGCAAACCAAGAGGCGCCTATGGTAGAGACTTTCCCACCTCCCCACACTGAAAACTACCCTGGAGCAGAGGGGGGATGGGAGCTGTGCTGAGCTCAGACTGTGCCAGGCTCTCAACATTCTGTGTGGCCCTGGGCAAGGGGCTCTCCTTTTTCTTCCAGGAAAACAAAAACAGCAACAAAAATCATAAACAATGCCTCACAGTGCTGGGCAGATTCAAGGAGAGGACAGAGAGAAGGAACTCTGGCCCGGCACACTGAAGGTGCTCAATCGATGCTCTCCTCCCTCCAGGACAATCACCAGTAGCAGCTTCTGGGGCAGTAGTCCTTTACTGAGGATCTCAGGCTGGGTGACTCTGGGGAGAAGACACACCTGAATTTGTCCTGCTCATCCTGCACACAGGAGCGAGTACATTGGTGCTCACAAAAGCTTGCTGGGATTGGCCAAATGCTACAGGATGAACAAGTTACAATCACATCTGACACAAGCAACCGGAAGCAGGATGTGCCCCAAACCAGATCTGAGTTTCCATTTGTCCTCTTCCTAGATTTAAAAACTTGACTAATAACTTGTATCTTTCTCTACATGATTTAACACATCTCAGTGAAGAAGTTCTAGGCAGCAGCTTCTACTATAAAGAAACCCCATGAGTAGATGTTATGCCCAAGTTCAAGGGCAAGACTAATTATCAAAAGGTATGCACTTTACACAACCACCCCCGAGAGGGCTGTCTGTTACTAAGGTTACCTTCCACCCCAGGGACATTAAAAAAAAACACCTTTGTATACAGGCTCACCCGTGTTCAGGTGTATAGGTGTGTTTCTGAACAGTTACTTCACAGAGAACTAACTGCAGCTACACAGTAATTAGGTGTCTATGAAGTTGGGATCTTGAGTTGAGACACTCTTCAGAGAGAAAGAATCACTCACTGCTTTGCTCTTCTTTTGAAGGGTCTTTTGTTTTTGTCATTCAAATATTTCTCCTTCTTAATTTTGGTAACATGGGTAACAGGTTGCACGCTCACCAGTGCTTACTGATGGTGCCATGCAGGTGTATTCTAAATTCAGCAACCTGCGTATCATTATTGTTAACGCTGAGTAAGTCATGAGATTCAGTGTGGCAGGAAATGAAAACCAGGGTTTGGCTTCTTCACGTGCTTCCTGTGTGTCTTTCTGAGAAAGGTGAAGACCACTGGGCTGGCAACTCAGCATGTACTTGTGAGAAACCACAGGTTCCCCTGAGTAGACGTCCACTTCCAGAAGTATCTTCCTCAAAAAGAATGATTTGCTCTCCAGGTTCCACAGGGTTTGCAAAGCCTCCCCCACGGACTAGGACAGGTGAGAGCAGTCCCTGGAGGCCCGGACAGAGGCCAGCTGGAAGAGATGCCGGGCTTCTCATGGTTTCCCTGGCCACTAACCTTGTTCTGGCCTGGCTCTCACTGCCTTAAACCTAGCTCTTGAATGGGTGGGAGGAGGAAATGGCCACCAAATCCCAGCCCACCTCCACCTGGCCTGGCCATCAAGGGCAGGAGAGGCAGTACTGGGAACCTCCAGGAAACAGGCTTTACTGGTCTTCACAGGCAACCAAAAATCAAGGATTAGCCTAGAACAGGGTTAGTTGCCTGAGGCCCAGGGGCCGAATCCAGCCTGCCTCCTGTTTCTGTAAATAAAACTTTATTGGACCATAGACATGCCTATTCCTTTACTGTCTATGGCTGCGTTTGCTCACACAGCCAAAAATATCTACAATCTGGCCCTTTTCCGAAAATGTTTGCCAATTCCAGTCTAGAACTGTGCGGTTCAATACTGTAACCACTAGACACATTTTAAATTTAAGATAACTAAAATTAAGTTAAAAATCCAGCTTCTTGGCTCAACAGTCACATGTGGCCAGTGGCTAAGGCAAAAGAGAGCACAGAGAACATTCCCACCACTGCAGGCAGTTTTCTTGGGCAGTGCTGGAAGTATAGGATCTAAGTCATCAAACTAAATTTACAGTCATCAAGTTCTGGGTCACTGTCTCTCCTTAGAAAGGTCTGCACTGAGTTAAAATATATCCCTTTCACACTCGAACTCCTAGGATATGCTTATTCACTACAATGAACACAAGCTTCAGACTATTTGGTATACAATAACTGTAAACCAACAAGAACTACAAGTCATCAGGTGGTCATTTTTACTTACTTGTTAACGGCCTTCCATCCCCAGTGAACTGTAAACTCTGTGAAAGCTGGGCCATTATGCTTGCTTGTATTCCAAGTTAGGACCCTGCCCAGCACACACGATAGATATTGACACACATACAGTATTGGTAAAATGAATAAGAAATGAACCCGGGTGCAAAACCATCCTGTGAAAAGAGGCTGCTGAACTGAACAGGTGATATGGCAGTGGGTAAATACACCTCTGTAACCCTGCAGCAGATGTTCTACAAACAGCTCGAATTTCTACTTAAAGTAAGTTTAAAAAAAAAAAAAAAAGATTCCAAACAAAAAAGCCATCAGGGTTTTGATTTTGGGCCCACCATGTAAGGGCCAGCCATGAGACCTTGGGTAAGTTATTTTCCATTCTGAGTGAGCTACCCGCCTCCTCCCTAAATGGGATGGATGAGCAAACAGATAACTCAGCACCAAACCCTCTCCTGTACTGCCTTCTTCCCAGCTCCCTGCTCCCTCCAGAGCACCCTGCCCAGGGGGAGTTCCTCCTGTGCCCTTTCCCCATGGCTGGGTCTCTCCCACAGAACCATAAGCTCCTCTGGGGCAGGGGCTATATCCTAGTCACTTTTGGCACACAGCAGCTGCTAATCAAAGGTTCAACTAAGAGTCTAAGAGCTCAATAAATAAAACACATTTTTGAAACCTCGTATTAACAAGCTTGCTCTAAGAAGTTCTTAGGGGGGCTGGGGTTGTGGCTCATCAGTACAGCGCTCGCCTAGCATATGCAAGGCCCTGGGTTAGATCCTCAGCACCACATAAAAGTAAATAAATAAAAGTATTGTGTTCAACTAAAACTAAAAAATAAATTAAAAAAAAAGTAGTTCTTAGGAGTAAATAATCAAGCATTCTTTGAGTTTTAAAATTAGAAATACCCTCACTGTTTGAATTAGTAGTTAGACTAAAGGTTGCTCTGTAAAAAGTCAAGTCTTTTTCAAGTTCATACACTTCACTGGTTTCCCTGCTGCAATTACACAGTGAACAGCCACAGGGAAAAATCCAAACTGGGCAAATGAGATCTTGGAATTAACAGCAAACAAGGTCTTGGAATTAACAATAGCAGCAGTGGTGGTTTAACAAATAAAATCAAATGATTCTATTTCAGAATAAATTCATAATTCAAAAGGTAACGAGTACATTAGGTATCTAATAAAAATCAGAAGACCCACAAACGAAAAATCTTAATTTTATATGCAATCAAATTTTTTTTCTTTTTAACTGCTAACTATTCAGTATTTAAGGTCAAACTGAAATCCAAACAATTTACATTTTGCTCTTGACCACTTGGGTTCTGCAGCTAGAACACCTAATGCTAACTGTAGTCATCCTGTTTCTTGGCTGGCTGCACAGCCAAACAATAAATTCATAGCTGACTCTAAAATATTTGGTTATAGTGAAAGCTGATTTCCACCAGCTCTGTCAAAGAGGGTTTGGGGAGAAAAGCAACATGCATTTCATTCTAGCAGGCTGGGTGTTCACGTGCTTCTATCTTCCTGGGTACACCCTAGGACCTGAAAAATCCTGCCCAGCATTTTAGTCACAGGGATTGTTAGTCACCTAGAGATCCTGCACCCACCCTTCCTTCACACAGGTCCTTAAGGAGATTTTGATAGTGAAAACTGTTTTGTATGAGGGAAAAGCTGTGATCTTATATTTAAAAAGTGATCTGGTGAGGCTTAACACCATTTTCTCTTTCACCCAGTTACGAGCAAAATTTACATAACAAATATCTTAATGCCAACTAAGTATGTACTACCCTGGTAACAATTCAACACGAGTAACAGGAACTGCATTTTTAAGCTAACTCTAAACCCCAAATATGTACCAACTGTAAAAAGGCAAACTGCGATTATTAAAATAATGATGTCTGCACACCCTAGAAACTTGTTGCCATCTTAAATTTAAACACCAAATGGCAACACACAGCCTATATGCATGCTGAATAGTTTGTAATACTCCATAAAAATGCTAACATCTTAAAAATTACAACCCCCAACAGATTTCAGATTTCAAAGCATGAGCACATTTCTTTTAAAAACGCTCTATGGCAAGAATGATAGTCCTTCTAAAGGAAGCTCTTTTCTGATCAATTCTGCATATTTTCAGATTGCAATTTATCTTTAATTTTTAGATATGTCCCCGGCAAAGCCTTTGCAGTATTAAGCAACACCAATGTAACAGAAACTCTGCGTACCGACAGCAACTTGGCCCGGCTTGGCCGGGCCCGCCTCTCCTTCCTACCCCCACCCAATACCTTCCCCGGGCAGTGACTTCACATCCTTTGACATCAGCACAGCTTCGAAAGGGGGATGGGAGAGCGAGCTGAAAGCAGAAAAACCAGCTTTGAACTATGCATGCAAGGCCTCTCTCGAGCGGCAGATTCTGTAAGTAGTTTGTAAAATGCCAAATGGCAGTGACACACCCCATCTGCTCCCGTGAAGCCTGCAGCAAAGTGGAGTGAATTCTGCTGAAGGGACTTCCTGCTTTTCCTATCTGAAGCACAATAGCCATTTATTAACTACCCACGGAAGGTTCCGGTCAGTGGAACACACAATAACTCACCTCGAATGTGGAGAAGGGCCACGGGCTGGAAAGGCCCATTGGAGCTGGCCGCATCCACCACCATCCCGCTGCCCGCCTTATTACATGTCAACATCTAGACTCCTGCGGGGAAGGCAGTGTACTCCTAGGGCAAGAAACCAGCCTCCATTTTAGTTTAAAAAAAAGACAAACTGAAGCTCTCTGCAGCTGGAGGGAACTGGCTGGCTAGTGATGTCAGCAGGCACGGAGCTCGCTGATTGGCTGGAAGCTGCAACTTAAAATGACACTGAAAAAAAAAAAAAAAAACCCTGCAAATGGAAAGAGCGTTCTGCTTGGCTGTCAGTGCGCACTGAGAGCCTGGGCATTTTCCGGCTTTCTGCAGTCTTCATTTCTCAGTAACTTTCAGGCAGAAAACCCACCTCTCCGGGGACAGACTGGAGGCCACAATCCCCAGCCAGACTGTAAACAAATGATTCTGAGAGAGAGAGAAAAAAAGGTGTGTGCATAGGAGGTGTTCTGTGGGAACTTTACATTTTGGCATTTCCCTGATACCCCAAATTCAGCGGCACTTTATGTCCCCCGTCCATCTTCTCCTTTCTAGTTGTACTTTCACATGTACATCCTATGTATCATGACAGCCAGCCGGTGATTTAAAGCCCATGGCTATTTAAATATTACATAATTCCAATTCATTAGTCCAGACTCTTGTTCAACTTCCGCTACCACCAAGTGGGCAAGTTATGAATTTATAATCCCCAAACACTGGTTTTCCCTGAGACCTAGTTGTTTCCCCACCCTCTGAAAAACATAGATTGAAAAACTATATGAAAAATGAAGGCTGCTTTGTATTCAATAGCTAGAAAGTGCTACAAATTAAAGTCCTTATTCCACATGGTTGTGGGAGCTAAAACAGACATAAAATGTGTGCTTTCTTTCTTTTTTTTTTAATATTTACTTTGTAGTTGTAGGTGGACACAATACCTTTATTCATTATTTTTATGTGGTGCTGAGGATCAAACCCAGGGCCTCACACGTTCGAGGCGAACGCTCTACCGCTGAGCCACAATCCCAGCCCCTATGGTGCTTTCTTCTGGAGCTTAAAGATGTCGACATATCAGATTCTTTTATTTAGGTTTTAGATATTTTGTTTAGATTAAAAATTGATATTTCACTAACTTTTGATGGGAGATTATTAAAAGCAACATTCAGATCCTAGTTTCCTGTCTTCAGACAAAGTTAATGAAAAAGTTGCTCCAAGAAGAAAGGTCACTCTGACCTGGAGTGCTTGGAGGTGGCAGGGAAACAACTCCTACAGAGAGAAGAGCTGACACCAGTGCCAAATGAAAACGAATAAACCTAGAAAAACCTCTTCAGCAGAGCAGAAGCTATCTCCTCACTTCTTTGTACAAACAAGAAAGTTTTCCTTTGTATCATTTCCCACACAATCCCCACCTCACCCATTTGCTCCACCTGCGAATAAGAACCAAAAAGCCCCGTAACTCCAAAACACAATTTGCAGCAAAAGAAACATGTGCTGCTGCTGGGTGGCCATGACACCTGTGGGCCTGGATGCCACACACCTCAGCAGATGAGTGTACCACTGCACCCATTTGGAGGTACTTTCCTGGTCTTCCCTGCAATAAGAGGGTAGATGCAACCGTGCCAACAGCTGTGTGATGGTCAGAAAAGCAGTGACCAGAATCCTATCCACCCCTTCTCCCCAGGGCTGAGAACTGCAGGACTCCATGGCAGGTCCAACAGCTTCCAGTGGGCCTGAGCCCCAAGAGCAGACACCACCCCAAGGCTGTCTCCCTATGAGTGCACACTGCTGGCCTCACGCCTGCCCTGGCAACAATGCTACCTGAGCAGCAGACACGGTTAAACAAAAAGACCAAGCCTCGAGTCAGGTGACCTGAACTCAGATTCTGTCTGTCCAAGTGTCTCCAAGGACCTCTCCCCTGCCCGGGGCTTCGAGAAGAGGACCACCACCAGCCCTCAGTGCTGAGGTACTGCTGCACTCACTTCCACTCAGTGCCACCTCCCCTCCCCAGGAGCCACACCAGGGAACTCATGGGGAACAGGGTGCGCAGGGGCTTGGGAAGGATCAGAAGCCCGTGCTTGCTGCGGTCTGCACTTTCAACAGGACGAGACCTCCAGCCAGATTCAACACTCATGTGAGATAGTCTGGGGAGATGCGCCTGTGCCAGAGACCCCAGGAGCATCAGCGAGAAGCACAAGGTGGACAGAAAAGGAAGACACTTTTTCATGTATTTTTCCTAATGATCTAAGATCAAAGGATCTCAACTTTATTAGTGATTCCCCTCCACACTCTTTAAAAACCTTATGCATATAAAGTAGTTCTTTAAAGACTGAGATCAAGAAATTATTGATAAAACAAAATATAGATAAGAAATAATGACTTGAACAAACAAGGCATATTTCTGATTTGGAAACATAAATACTATAAATATGCTAATGTCAATTTTTTCCTAAAATGGCAGATTAATGGCATTTAATGGTAGTTTATCCTGAGTTGCTGGGATTACGGGTATACAACATTTGTACCTGACTGCAACTTCAGATAATGATTTCAGAAAATATTTGGAAATATGTTTCAAGATTTTTTTTGTTTAAGTAGTAAACTTTTGTTTTACTTCTTGGAATTCATTCTAGAAATGTAATAACCATGAATGAGTACCACATTTTAAAAAAATGTATATTTAAAAAATATAGTATTTTTTAAAAAAATACCTATTTTTGAAATTATGCTAAAATAAAGCACATGATATAAAATTTACCATCCAAACTGCTTTTTAGGAGTACAGTTCAGTGGCATTAATTACATTCATGTCCTTGTTTCAATTCTTTTGGGGACACAGCTAGGAGGAACTGTTGGATCACATGGTATACCTTTTTTTTTTTATTTCTGAAGAACTGTCATGCTGTTATCCCAGTGGCTGTCCACTGCACACCCCACACCAGTGCATACCCAAGAACACATCCGGGCCCCTGCACATCCTCAGAGCACTCACGCCTTTGCACAGTACCCTCTCCTCGGGGTGCACACTGAGCTGCAGTCCCGAACTACAAGTCATGCTGAGCTCCTCTGCACAGGCAAGCTGACCATTTGTGTATTTCTCTGGAGAAATGTTTGCTTAAGTTTGTTACACATTATTAAAACCAAGACTTTTTGGTTGCTGTTGAGTAGTAGGAGTTGTTTGTCTGGACGTTAATCGCTTCTCAGATACAGCACTTACAGAAACCTCCTCATTCTGTAGGCTGCCTTTCGCCTTGCTGACTGTGTCCTTCAGTGCTGTTTTAATCAGATGCAGTCCAGTTTACTTGTTTTTACTTCTGTTGTGTACCACTTCTGGTGTCATACTCAGGAAACCACAGCCAAATCTAATGTCATGAAGTTTAATAGTTTTAGCTCTTAACATCCAGGATTTGATTCATTCTGAGTTCATTTTTGTATACGGTGTTAGGTAAGGGTCTAACTAACACCAGACTTTTTCATGTGGATATCCAGGTTTCTAGAGTCATCTGTTAAGAGTCTGTCTTTTCCTCACTGAATAGTCTTACCACATATGCACAAGCTCTGTTCTATACCATTCATCTATATGTCTGTTTTGGTGGCAATACCACACTAGTCTTGATTACTGTAGCTTTGTTTTAAGTTTTTAAATGAGGAATGGTGAGTCCTCCAGCTTTTTCTACTTCTGGAAAAAACTACATTGGGATTCTTAATTTTATTTTAGTTGTAGATGGACACAACATCTTCCTATCTTCCTCTCTCTCTCTCCGCTTTTATATAGTATTGAGGATCAAACCCAGTGCCTCACACATGTTAGGCCAGCGCTCTACCACTGAGCCCCAGCCCCAGCTCAACACTGGGATTCTTACAGGTACTACAACTGACTCTCCAGATCACTTTGGGAAATACTGACATCTTAACAACATTAGGTATTCCAGTCTATGAACACAAGATGCCGTTCCATTTATGGGTTTCATTAATTTCTTTCAGGGGCATTTGTAATTTGGAGAGAATAAGCCTTTCAATTCCTTGATAAGTATTTCATTTATTTATTTACTTGGTACACTGAACCCAGGAGCACTCTACTGAGCTCACCCCCTACTCCTTTTTATTTTATTTTGGGACAGGCTCTTGCTAAATTGCCCAGGGTGGCCTGGAAGTTGCAATCCTCCTGTCTCAGCCTCCCAAATCACTGGAATTACAAGCATGCACCACCATGCCTGGCTTAAATATTTTATTCTTTTTGAGAGTATTACATTCTACTCATGGTTCCAAAATAATGGAAACTACCTTAAGGTCAAAAGGATTACCCCACATACTCTGTAAAATTTTATGCATCCATCAAAAATACTTATACAGGGGCTGGGGCTGTAGCTCAGTGGTAAAGCACTTGCCTCGCATGAGTGAGACATTGGGTAGCACCACAAAAAATAAATAAAGATATTGTATATCTAACTACAACTAAAAAAATATTTAAAAAATACTTACACATTTATAAAACTGAAATATAAGTGAAAAAGTCAGAGAATGATTTTTCATAAATAGTATGATCAGAAAATAATCTCAAAATATTAACAATGGTCATCACTGAATGGTAGAGTTATAGATGCCTTTTCTTTTAGAAACTCCCTGTGTTTATTAACACTGTAGAAAACTACATTATTATTTTAATGAGATATAAAAGTAACAATTTTTAAAAGGAGACATATATTAAGTTATAGCAGAAAGAATCTTTAATGCAGTTTCCCCTTAAATGTCAGGCTAAGAACAGGGAAAGGATGGTGATAGGAACCCAAGAAGTCTGATACAAAGATTTTATTATGATGATAAATGAGATCATGGGTGCAAAAAAAACCCATAAAACTTTGTTGAAATCAGGCATAAAAAATTTAAATAACAGATAAGGATGATGACTCTTTGTCTCAAAGACTCAATTATGAACTGCCTGAGTTTCTCACCATGAGTTTGTCACCTTTGCATGGAGTCTGGGTTCATCTAAGTGGTCAAGGTTCAAGTGGTCTCTGGAGTGAAGCTCTCTGCCCTGATGAAACAAGTACTGGCAAATGCAACCCAGAGGGGCTCATAATACAGCCATGTCACTCACTCTAGGACATGTTTTGACACCTTCCTGGGAGGGACTGGACAGAGGGAAAAGATCAGCATGGGGCAAGAGACTGCCCTGAAGAACCCCGCTGGTTCTGTCTTCACCTGAAAAGGGATATACCTGATTCCTCATGTTGTTAAGAGGGCTCACATCATACAGGGAGTAGACTCCCTTGCTGGGTAGGAGCAGAGAGTATAGGACCCAGGCGGGATGCCACTAAATGCAGCCCCAGCCAGCACAGGCCAAATGCAGGAAGCAGTGTGCATTACCTCACTCTAAAAACCTCATTGCCCATCAACAGCATTTTGGAAAGACCCCTGGTTGCAGTGCACAGATATCACTGAGCCACGCAAGGCACCTCCACTTAGGGTAATCCCTTTGGGCAATCTTCCTTTTATTTCCTGCTAGGTTCAGCAAGAGTTCCAGCCACAGGTTTTCTCTCTTGGCTTAGACGCTGGACAGTCTCTGGCACCAGGGGGTTCCTGTCAGTGTACTGAATCATCTCCTGAACAGTTACTTTCCACGCCCCTGAAACAGACCCTGTTCCACTCTGGTGCCAGGAGTGGACACCTCTAATCGTCACCTTGACTAGCCCCATCCGCCTGTTAGGCTGGCCTCCCACGATGCTTCCATAACCCTCCTGGCTGCAACTACACCAGGAAGAGCTCAAAAGGCAAGGCTGGTGGCTGGCTCAGCACGGTGCACCTTCCACTAGGAAACTGGCAAGAAGACCTGGGCTCTCAATGCACCCTCCAGCAAACGCCGAATGTGGAAAATCTGCACAATATGACAGCTTAGCTCTGAAAAGGAATTACCTTTTATTTTCTCATCCCTCCACCACTGTTTTCTTCTCTGTTTAAAAACAAACTGTCTGTAAATACATCCCACTGATTTTATTTCTAGGTAGTATTTCTGAATAAAACTTTCATATTTTCATTTCTAAATTCAGCCAAAGGTTTTCTTTTTATCTCCCCAAGCCCATTTGTAGGCAAATTACATACGCTCACATCTTAGTAGATAAGTTTTACAGTAATTAACAGATTTTTTTTGAGCCTAGAGATCTGTGACACTATAGCCATAATGCAGAGGCATTGGGCTGGCCAGCACTATTTTTTAAACAAAACCCCCAAACCAAAAAACTGGAAACCACACAAGCATAGATTGTTGGGTAAGAAATCTAACCTAAAAAATTTGGCTTCACTTGCAGTTTAAAATAGACCTTTTCCTTAGACAGATCAAAGGTACCTAACACTCAGCTGTGCTCAAAGGCTGCCAGGGAACTTCTGCTTGCCAACAGCAAGGACAAAGGGACAGGCACTGGCTGCCCTGTTGATCTAAGTCCTGCGAGTAATTAGAAAGCCACGGCTGAGCTCGCCCACAGGGAAGCTCAGCACAGCTAGGTGGAGGAGCTACGAAGACCTCACCCTGGCTCCTGGGTGAAGCCTGGGCTCGATCACTGCTCACCACTCCCTGCACTGGGCTGGAAGCCTTGCAGGAAGGTAAGAGCTCTCAGCCCTCCTTGTTCTGACAGCACAGGAAGCCCCCATGCAGTAGATGAAGTCCGTTTATGTCAAAGACTATCATACCAATTTTTTTTTTTTAATTGGCCCATACCCTTGCCAAACCTACAGTAGGTCAATGGAGCGATAAACCTCGTTTTCCAAGAAGAAGCCTGAGGTGGAGTGATGTGAAGGAAGCGGTGAGTTCAGGCTAGGTTTAGCCGCCCTGAGAGGTGATGCCACAGCAGTCTCTGTGAAAACTGCAAGGATAGGGAGAGGACAGGCAGTGTGGCTGCACTGTTCCCTGGATTCTTGGCAGATGTGGTCATGGATACCACAGACACAGGTACTACGGCCCCTGCCCTCGGTGACAGCACTGACAGCAGCTAACATGGAGAGTGGAGTAGCATGTCGGAGTGTCCTGAGCCCAAGCATCCATCAAGGGATTGATGGATGAACAAAATGTAGTAAGTCTGCAACATGGAATGCCACAGCCTTAGAAAGGAACTGAACCTTTAGTACATGCTGCCACACGGACAGTGTTCAACCAAAGGTCTGCAAAGGCCCCAGCATTTTCCCAATCCCAGAGAACTCAACAGAGAGAGTATGGCCATTTTATTCCTCAGGTGCTCCCCAGGGCAGCAGGCTAGGGCAACATGGAAGGCAGCCCATGCCCGCAAGCAGGGGGTGTAGGTACAGGACAGGCTGAGCCACTGCTCTTATGGTTTCTTCACGTTGTACCAGGACAGTCCTTTTAATTCACAGCCACAGCTTTTCTGCTTTGATTCCATCTAAACACTGGAGGGGAGGAGGTAGCCCAGTTTCCCCTTCCTCACCCAGGATACCACGCTCTGTGAAGCTCTTCCTACTCACCACCAGGAAGGACGAGCCCTCCTAGGAACTGAGGAGAGTTAAACCCCAGCAAGAGAGTCTGGAGAAGATTGTGCTAAGTCAATTAAGGTAGAAGGACAGATAAGACTCGACTTACATGAGGTCTCTGGAGTTGTCAAGCTCTAGAGATAGAAAGTAGAGTGCAGGCTTCCAGGGGGTCGGGAGGAAGGGGAACATCCTGTGTCATGGGGGCAGTTTCTATGGGGTCTGATGAAAAAGTCTTGGTTGCAGATCTATAGCACAGTAAATGTATCTGATGCCCCTGAGAGATACAACTATGAATGGTTAAACTGATAAATAATATGCTATGCATATTTCATCACAACTGAAAAAAGAAGATAAGGCAGGCTTGAGCCAAGGCAGTTCAGGGGACACTGGGAGCAGAAGCAGCAGGGTACAGACTCTGGGGAGGGTGGAGCATCAACAGGGAGCCAGATCTCCAGCTGGAGGGAATGGATAGAGAGAGAAATGTCCAAGGAAGTGTGTATGTGTTGATAAACTGAATTTCAGGTACTGGGGAGGAAGCCTGGGAGCGGCATGGAAGGCCGAAGCTCAGTACTTATGTGAAATGTGTGAATGCAGCTGGAAGTTAGAGACCAAAACCCTGGGGTTTCACCCAGAGAGGTCTGAGGCTGACACCTGAGTGACTCAATGGGGCATTTGTGGCT